ATCATTTCATCGTACATATATATGTACGATGAAATGATAAAAGATAAAAATTGATTTCTTTCTCTTCGATTCAAATATTTATCAAAAAGTAAGAAAAAGGAACGAAAAGAAAAACACAAAAGTTCTATTTTTGAATTCCATCTTTTTTTTGTCTTCGGTTGTAAACAATGTGAAATGATTTCAAGCGGAATTTCATTTGGGAGAGTTTTGACGCCGAATGGTCTAACATTGATGGAGAAAAAAAAAGAAAAGAATGGAAAAAAAAGGAAAATAACCGTTGAAGGACAATTTTTGGGGTTTTTTTTTCAATCAAATGGGTATTTTTATCTTTCTCAGATTTTTTTTCTTGATAATAATAGTGAATCAATTGAGATGAAAATAATTTGAGGTATCTTTTCTCTTCATCTTTTTCTTTTTTTCAGTTTTTTCTTTTCGTTGTATTTCTCATTTTCTTTCTTTCAAATTGAAAATGAAGAAAGGAAGGGAAAAACAAGAGAAGAAAAAAGAAAAGAAATGAATAAATGTATTATTTGAAAATAAGAAATTGGAAGGATTTATTTTATCATATGATAATGGAAAATGATTAAGAATTATTCAAGCAGATTTCTATTGATTGTTAAGATTGATAGTGATTATTTATTATATGAATTGATAATATTTGAACATTAGCTCTTTTGTACTCTTAATTTGTATTTAATAAACTTAAAATTTTAGTTTTCTTAGTTCGATTTTTTTTAATTCAAATATTTGACAGATGAAAAATGAACATTTAATAACTGAACTAAGATTTGGTTTTTGTAACGCTTTACAGCTAATCTCAATGTTTTCTTAATTAATTTAGGAGAGTTTTAAATAAGCGGATAGCGTTGAGTTCTGACAATTGTATAGTATTGAGTTCCTGTAGATTAAATTATTTGAAAAATTAAAATTGATTAAATTTAATCTTTTTCCTAGCCTAGTTTATCTTTTATTTTATTATCAGATAGTTTTCTCTCTCCCTCTCTCTCTCTCTCTCTCCCATCGATCAATTCTCAAATGTAATTACCAGCATTTCTGGGGCAAAATGAAATGACATATTTGGCCAGTAAAATGCCTTTCGAAACAGACAGAAGAAGTAAATGAGGCCTCTTTGCTGTCCCAAATCAATATATATCTATACTGCGAAATATCAAATGGAAAGAATTGATGAATTTATTAACATTAAGAAAAATTGAAACATAAATCTTTCCCAAGTGAAATTGAAATTACTTAAAAGGAAAAAGAGCGAAAATTCTCTTCGGAAATTTCATCATTCTTTCAATTTTACTTCCTCATTTTATCATTGGATGATATATTTTTGATGAATTTGCATGTCGTTAACAAAAATTATTCTTCAAAAAAAAAATTAAAATCTTATCATGCTGATTTTGGTAATCTTTTCTTGATAAATTTAGCAGTTGGGGAAAAAAATCCTAATAAAAGCACAAACAACTATTTTCAAAATCTAAATTTTGAAATTTTTTGATTCAATTTCGTCTTTTTTCATGCACAGTTTAAACTTCAAATGGCCTTTAAATCAGCTTTTTCTTTCAATTTTTAAATTTATTTTGAAAAAAATTTAAAAAAGAGCTATTTGCAATTGGTTCAAGGAAATTTTTTTATAAAACAGAAATTTGTCAAGTTTAGTTGTGATGATAAACAGCGATGTTTGTTTGATGTGGAAACGAGCCGGTTTGGTTTGGATTCATGTCCTGGGGAACCAAAATACCTGGAAATTGTTTATTCATGCATTGAAGGTATTAAAATGAAATTCACAAATTTCAATTAAATTTTCATGCAAACCATAATATTATGCACCGTATGTTTTGTACTGACTGATATGCTGCTATCTGTTGTCCACAAATTTGTTTCTCGTGATCGGAAGTTATCAATCATTGTGTTTGGTTGTCTGTCTTTTCCGTTTTTTTTTTTTTTTAATTCACCGGAATGCTTGCCCGAATTTAGGTTATGAATTAAAGTTATCGAGCTAAATTCTTCTTTTTGCATTGGTTATCAAATAATTATGAAAGGTTAATTTATAGAACTTAATATTCAATTTATCTCATGACAACAACATTAATGATACATTAATGGTAATCGGTGGAGATTCTCGAAAGATGCTTAAAAATTCTAGAAATTAAGCATATACCTTAAAATAATGAGATTTTCTGGAAATATTATGCGAAAAAATTTTCCAGCAAATCTCTTTTTCTGTGAGTAGCGCTAACAAAGTGAGAATTCTCGCTTCAATTTTCCTTCTTGAAGATTTTGCATCTTTTAAAGACTGCTTTTTTTCAACTTTCATCCGATCAAAAATATCATTGCTACCTTTCAGATACTTAACAGCAAGCGTATCAGTGGAAATATATATTTCAGAAATATTTTAAAAATAAAAGGAAAAAGAATGAAAAAAAAAACTTATTAT